CGACATAGGTGGGCTCTCGTCACGAGACAGAGTCCTCAGATCGGCGAGAGATCGTTGTCTCAGTCGCTTCTCGGAGACCGACGGCGTTCTCCCCGTGGTAACGGTTTTCGGCACTCACTCAGAAGGTACACTTCTCAGGTCACGCTCTCACAGAAGTACTTACGGGTTCTTAAAAAAAAGAGAATTGTCGTTTCCCCTTTTTTTCTTATCCTGTTGAAAATCACGTCTGGGTCATCAATTTAGTAATTCTTCAAGCGGCGGGAACTAAATGAAGATAGGCGTGAACTAAGCAGAATTACAATTTATTTATTATTCGAGATTTCCAACAAGACGGAGCACAAAAATCAAGTCGACAACGAAGCGAAATTACAAACTGAATTGCCACGTGGCAATTGTAATAATCGACCCGATTGCGTGCGCGAGAGAGTGTTCGCTGGTTAGCGTCCAGAAGGAGAAGGAAGGTTTTGCTCCGATCAGCATCATGAGCTGCTATCTTCTCCTCCAGCACCTGAGCGCCACCACAGCCATTTCCCCGCTGTGTGGATGTCAGCGCTGCTGAAGGCACAGGCGTCCGAGTGGTGTCAGTAGCGATCTCGCGTGAGACACCACACATACAACGAACATGAATACATGTATTAGCATGCACAGTGAAAGTAAATAAGTCAACTAATGATGCTTGTACAGACACTACGACACTATATGAGAGAAAAAAACGCTACAAGCTACTTGACTAAAAAAAATATACTTAAATGTGAGCCACTTAATTAAAAAATCACTGAATAGCACTAGGTCAATTTGCTGCGTGAATTTTTCAGAGACGACACAACTGCTGAAACAGCTGATGTAAAGCATAGATGGAGCAATCAAACGAGTCATAAATACCCTGTATGATGACTGTTACGATGCTTGTACCTGGAGTCTAAGATCTTGACAAAAACTCCGCGAAATTTGAAATTGCGAATGATTCTTTCTTGCTAAACGACAGATATTGTACAATTACAATTTTTTTAACTTTTATGGATTATAACTACATTATACATCATTCGAAACACAACAAATATGTATAGTATATAATAATAGAGAGAACAACGGTACGAGGCAAGAATATGTGGTGTACCTTGCAGCTGGCGCGCCGACGTCAGGTACCGCGCTTGTTTATTTAATTTTTTTGCAATAGTAATTATTATGTTTTCATCCAGAAAAATAACATTTTCGATATAAAATTTGACGCAGAATACGATAAAAATACTTAAAAGGCGTTAAACCGTGGGCCTCATTGTTAAAAATTGATTTAAATATTTTAATTGTTTATAACAATACGAAATTTTATATAAATTTTTTTGAAACACTTTTTTTCTTAAAGTTCACTTTTTTACTTTCAAAATGAAAAAAAAAAAAGTTTTTCTAGCTAAAAAAGAACTAGAGTTATAAATTTTTGAAAATGAGTCTATAAGGCAAAAATCACGAAAATCTCAAATTTTTCAACCCCCTCTACTTTCGAAAAAAAAAAAAAAAATTCCTAGGATACGTGTCTCTTTTTTTCCGATATAGAACACGTAAAAAAATTTTCAGATAAATCGGAGATGGGTCGGTCAATTTTTGGTCAAACCTATTCGATTTGTAAAAGAATGACCCATATATGCATAAGTATATGTGTTCCAGGGAATGAATGGATGTTCGTGTGATAATAACTATATTTATTGACCAAAATGCATGTCCTGACACCATAACGGTCCGTGAGGCAGTGCCCCGACGTTCTCTCGCTCGCCGCTGCGGCGCTCTGTGCCCCCCCCTCCTCTCCCGAGAGAGATGGGACATCGCATACCAATCAGTGCTGGGCATCGATGGTTTATATCGAAAAAAAGAGCTCCCTAGAGCTGACTTCAGTTTGTACACTGAAAGAGCTCTTTCCGATTCCACTCGTTCCACGGTTCCGTTCAGTTTTGAATTGAGAAAAAAAAGATTGTCATGCACTTGCATGTAAAAAGTATTAAATTACAATTATTTTCTAATTTTTTTTTGTATATCTTAATTTTTGTATTAATAATTTTATTTACTTTATTTGGATTATTGTTTATATTTTTGTTTCATAAATTACTGAATTGTGTAATGCAGAAAATTTATTACTAGTTATTATTATTGTTATTATAAAAATGTTCTAATTAAAAAAATAAAATGATACTATTAGTTATTATATTTTGTTATAGATTATCTAGAAGAAATTATGATAGGAATAGTATAATTATAATTTATATAATAATTTATAATAAATACACATTTTTCTTACGTTATTTATTCAACATTGATCAAATTATATATATATTCTGATAACAATTCCTAAATACTCTTATAAAAAATAATAATATATATATGGGTCATTCCAATAGATTTTTAACATTCGGCGACGCACTCAAATCACGGATCTTAGCGGCGATTTTTTCTATGATAGTACATAAGAAAAGAAGCCCTTTCCCGCCCGCAGAATTTTTTTTAAGGCTATATATATGTATATATATTTTTTTTAAGGTCCGAAAAATGGCCTTTTTTGGCCTATTTTTGAAAATTCATAGCTACGTAAGTTTTCAACTTTTTTAGACGTGCCGGGGCTCGATGGATCCGTCCACTCCTGTACTTTTCAGAAAAAAATATTCCATAAGTGAATACATATATAAACACACCGTCACATCGATATAACCACGGGGTTATGGAGCCTATTTAATAGGCATCTTTGATGTCCTGTAACTTTTTTAATTTTCAATATTTTTGAACGAGTTTGACGGGATTTTCTTCGTCTTTTCAAGAGCTTTAATTTGAGTCCCCGCCCGTTTTCCTAGCTGCCCTAGAACCAGAGTTATGACGCTTCAAAGACGATGAGTTTTGCCAAAAATTGAAATTAGGCAATCTTTAAAGTACGATATTTAGAAGGGAACGCAAATACACACAAAAATATTTTAGGGGGTTATAGTACACTATATGAGCTATCAAAAACTGTAATAAAATTAAAAAAAAAAGAAATAAGTTTTTTTTAAATCGACTTTGAAAATCGCAATTTTTGGCAAAACTCATCGTCTTTGAAGCGTCATAACTCTGGTTCTAGGGCAGCTAGGAAAACGGGCGGGGACTCAAATTAAAGCTCTTGAAAAGACGAAGAAAATCCCGTCAAACTCGTTCAAAAATATTGAAAATTAAAAAAGTTACAGGACATCAAAGATGCCTATTAAATCGGCTCCATAACCCCGTGGTTATATCGATGTGACGGTGTGTCTATACAGTCGAACCCCCGGCACTTCTCGCTCTCGGGAGTAGCTCGCCCTGGCACTTCTCGGTGAGCGGCAGCCAATCAGAGCGTACGGCCAGGTATGGGCATACTGTAGCTTGCCGCGTGGGCCCTTTGGGGGACTCAAAAATAGTTAGTTCAAAATAAGCAGCTGCGCCTTATATTAAACAAAATTCATACGTTAACAACAAAGTATAATTAATATGATAGTCAACTTTTTTTTTGATAATTTAAAAAATTGAACGCAAATAAATTTTATTTATGATTTCTACATATGTATAGGCAATAATTAGTTATTTAATTTCTTTGTAAAACATGAACGAACGAAATACTTCTTTTTTTTAATACCATATTTTTTTATATTTTTGTTACATTTTTATTATAAAAATAAATCGCTAAAAATTTTGTTTATTATAAAAATAAATAGGAAAATTCTTTTTTCTTTAAAAAAATTAAAAGCATCAATTGGTTTGACGAGAAAATCTAAGACATTCTCTATCGCGTTTTTTTTTGTCAGATTCTAATTTGTTAGTGTAAAATCATTATAAAGGGGTTCATAAGTTTAAAATTGGATTATCTGCATCCATAAAACTAAAAGTTTAAAGTCAGATTATGTATGTGTACCCATAAAACTAAAAGTTTGAAGTCGGATTATCCATACATATTCGGAAATCTATTGAAATTATAAAGAGGGAAGAATAAGCCTTCCAATAAGGCCGTAAGAGAAAGAGAGACCCCCTGGTACGCAAGGGGCAGTGTACGGCCCTGCCCCTTGAGAAGTGCCGCGGCGCAGCCAGCGAGAAGTGCGGGGGCGCAAGAAGTGCCGCAACGAGAAGTGCCGGGAGTTCGACTGTATATGTATTCACTTATGGAATATTTTTTTCTGAAAAGTACAGGAGTGGACGGATCCATCGAGCCCCGGCACGTCTAAAAAAGTTGAAAACTTACGTAGCTATGAATTTTCAAAAATAGGCCAAAAAAGGCCATTTTTCGGACCTTAAAAAAAATATATATACATATATATAGCCTCAAAAAAAATTCTGCGGGCGGGAAAGGGCTTCTTTTCTTATGTACTATCATAGAAAAAATCGCCGCTAAGATCCGTGATTTAAGTGCGCCGCCGAATGTTAAAAATCTATTGGAATGACCCATATATATATTATTATTTTTTATAAGAGTATTTAGGAATTGTTATCAGAATATATATATAATTTGATCAATATTGAATAAATAACGTAAGAAAAATGTGTATTTATTATAAATTATTATATAAATTATAATTATACTACTCCTATCATAATTTCTTCTAGATAATCTATAACAAAATATAATAACTAATAGTATCATTTTATTTTTTTAATTAGAACATTTTTATAATAACAATAATAATAACTAGTAATAAATTTTCTGCATTACACAATTCAGTAATTTATGAAACAAAAATATAAACAATAATCCAAATAAAGTAAATAAAATTATTAATACAAAAATTAAGATATACAAAAAAAAATTAGAAAATAATTGTAATTTAATACTTTTTACATGCAAGTGCATGACAATCTTTTTTTTCTCAATTCAAAACTGAACGGAACCGTGGAACGAGTGGAATCGGAAAGAGCTCTTTCAGTGTACAAACTGAAGTCAGCTCTAGGGAGCTCTTTTTTTCGATATAAACCATCGATGCCCAGCACTGATACCAATATACCATACAATATCCAAGAAAGTGTCTCCATCTACACAAAACAAGCAAGTTGTACAAATAACAAATGTTCACTATTTTGTAATTTATTATAATTTATGAACCTAGTTAATAAGTGTAATATAAAAAGAAGAGAATGAATTCTCAAAAATCAAAATTAAAGGTAAATATATATTTGATGATTAAATATGATGTTTGTACATACATATAAAAATATGAATATTAAAAGAAGGATTAATTAAGATTTTAGCAATTCATGGATTTCGACAATCCGATAAAATATTTAGTGCAAAATTAGGATCATTGAGAAAGAGTTTTAAAAAGGAAGTAGATTTTCTATTTATTAAAGCTCCTCATAAAGTTCCAATTGAAAATAAATCAGATTGTATTGAAGAACCTGCTGAAAATGCCAATGAATTTGAACGTAAAATATTCAAATTCTGTAATCAAATTACTATTAAAATACCTGTATACTGAATTTTTATATTTGCTTAGAATATGGATGGTGGTTTAATACAGAAGATAAAATATTTAAAGCTACAGAACTAAGCAATAAATCAGTAGGCTTTGATGAAAGTCTTGAATTAGTAAAAAATGCATTATTAGAGCAAGGACCATTTGATGGAATATTAGGTTTTTCACAAGGTGGATCATTTGTTTCTATTTTATGTGCAATGCAACAAAAAAATGGTACAAGAAATTAAGTAAATTAATTTAATATTTTATAATTTTTATTCACAAAATATTTTTCTGTAGTTTTATCAAGCAAATTTGATTTTGCTATTATTATATCTGGTTTTAAATCACTTTGTCAGCCACATCAAATGTTTTATGATGAACAAATAATGTTACCAACATTACACGTGTTTGGAGATAGTGACAAAGTAATTCCAACAAGTTTGTGACTTTCAGCATTATGATTTATATTTACCATTAAAGTGATTGTAAACTTACATTGATTATAAAATGTTATTTTCCAGAAATGGCTAAAGAACTGAGTGAATTATTTGTAAATAAACAGGTGGTTCTACATGACGGTGGACACTACATTCCTGGGAAAAAACACATATATGCCAATTTTTTGAAAGAAATGTTTGAGAAAAAATATATTAATGAGAAGACAAATGTATTTGAATAAAAATACAAATCATATTAATAGTTTTAGTAAATTTATTCAATTTTATAATTAATGCCATTCTTAAATAAATATCATTTGGTAAGAATTAGTTTACTATTACAATATTATGATTACTCCATTGAAAGATACAGTAAATAAAACCAATGTACAACTTATACACACATTTATCATGAAATGAACACATGAAAACAATTGTAGATGAAAATTTAAATATAATAAAGGCATCAGTTTTTTCTCCCAATTTACTTTTACATAAACAAATTTTCAGTTATATTGGGATTGAAATAATATATTGGTGCTAGATAAATGTGATCGTAGGTAATTGATTTTAAAATAATTTATTTAATATTGAAAATAATTTCAAATAACAATGTGAAATAAAGTAATACTTCATGCATTGTTATCTTAAATGGTATAATAGTTTTCAATGCAGAACTACACAGATTAGAAAAGTGTAAGTTTTTCAACATTTGCATTTCAAAATAATGCTTTTGAGCTAGATCGTGTTATTTATATTATTAATTTCTCACCCAAGTCTATATTGTGACATGAATATTAATATTTGAGGTATTTACGCATAATCCAGTTAAATTAAATTCAAAGGCAATCTTACTAGCACAAGTTTCTTCATTGCATTGACTGTTTGAAGATATAAAGATTTTTTTATATTTTAATTTTTTAATTTGAGAAAAATTTCTGTAGAAGTATTATGAGAGAATTCAAAAATTTATTATAAATTTAAGCACTTTGTAAAGAAAGTGTGAGAAAATTCGAGCACTTTGTTAATGCTATACTTATTTATACACTCTTTAACTTAAAACAATGTAAAATGTTTGTTTTGTCTTTGATGTTTTAGAGACAAATAGGTTACTCAATAACCGAACAAGATACTCTTTTATTTGACCCTATTATTGATAAATAGAGACTCAAGGCGATTGCTCTTGTCCATTTGTCTCTTTAGTTTTCATAACTTCTGGAAGATCGGGAGGTAAAGAAAATGGAGTCATTTCTAATGGTTCAAATTGTCCATTATCTTGACGTACTGCTAATCCAATCAGAGCTGGACATTGAGCTTTCGCAGTAGCTGATAATAGGCCATAATCTGAAAGGAACTTGTTGTCTAACATAACAACATTATCTTTGTTGTACAACTGTTGATTAGCTGGAGGAATCTTTAATATTCCTACAAAAAAATTAATTCAATATGATTAAATAAATACATTTATATCATTTATCATGATTTTCGTTAATTTGATGACATATTTCATAAAAACTATTACAGAATTATAGAAAATTTGGACAGCAAAAATGTGAATTAATGTACCGTAAGAACAAATATGTACATTGTATCAAGTTACCTTCAATTATTTTTTTCAGTTCTAAAACTGTTGTATTTTCCTTAGCATCGGTAAAAATTGTCATTTTCTTTCGCCGAATCATCAGAAAAACGTCCTGAAATGACTTATAAACGTAAAGGTTAGGCTCTCATATTGTTTTCCTCATTATTGAGGAATTCTGACGATTTTAAAGCAACATTTAACAAATAACTCACCATGACTTTCAATTTATTTTTATGTACTTGTGAATGGTCTAACTTTCTACTGTTTTATTTTCTTTTAATATTGTAGTATTATAGTATTCAGGTTATGGACGAAAACTTATTTATTAAGGTATTTTTTTAAATATAAATTTTGTGGATCACGGATCCGAACTATCCGAAGTCACGAATTATGACAACAGTGTAGGTGTTAATCAGAACGTAATATTTCATTACGGTAAACAGCCATGGATAAAAAAATCATTTAGATGCAAGTGTATACTAAATGTCGTTACCTACAGTGGTTAGAGCTCGGTCACATAGGTGCATACGGATGCGGTCGGATACGGACGCGAATCGCAACTCTAGTAACATCACTAAAAATATCTAGTTCATTATTTAATACCAACACTACCGGTAGTGAGCAAAAGTGACTGTTGTTTAAAACTGTAGCGCCGAACGTATCACAATTAATGAACGCCTATCTAACCTTTACATTATTGCAATCTATAAGATAGCAAATGATAGAGGATTGATAGACTTTCAACTACAATTAGTGGAATTAGGCCTTAATTTTTTGGAAGTACTTGAATATATGAGAAGAAGAAGAAAATATATATATATGATATGTATTAATCATCCCAAAACTTTTTTTACATTAGCACACTCATCAATAAGCAATATTCATGAGAATTTGAAAAGTAAATTGTAGACCTGACAGTTGAACATTAAATGTGGTACGTTCAGCGCTACAGTTTTAAACAACAGGCACTTTTGCTTACTACCGGTAGTGTTGGTACTAAATAATCGAACTAGATATTTTTAGTGATGTTACTAGAGTTGCGATTCGCGTCCGTATCCGTCTGCATCCGTATTACCTATGTGACCGGGGCCTTATAGTATATGCACTCGACGCGGGTTGGAGTGTTGGACATCGGGAAATTTTTTTAAAAAATTGGCATGGTGTTGAGTTCCGGCTAAGGGCAAAAATGATGAAAAAATTTGACATCGATAAACCTTCTTGACTTGCATTTTTCATGCTCATCTGCAATGTCAATTTTGTTGGCAGAGAAGGGATTTTATAAAAATTCTATACAAACAATCAAAATAATTAATAATAGTTATAAATATTCGGAATCTCCCAAGATAAGTTCCAAATTTAAATCTCTTTAAAAAATTTAATTTTTACAATAATTGAGATTTTAATCTTACAAATAAATTATTAACGTATCACAATTATAATAAAAAGTATAACATATTCAAAGTGTTATATTCTTTAAAATGAGAATCAAATTTGGAACGTATTTCGGAAGATTTTGAATACTTACAACTATTATATTAATTATTCTCTGGTAAGCAAACAGCAACCGTATATGACCTCCCTTACCACAGCCTCCAAATTTAAATTATAGTAAAAAAAAATATCAATGGGAAGGTATGTAACTGCACCCTCCAAATACGCTAAAACATCAATCTGTATCCTTCTAAATTAATTAATAAAAATTAAAAACCAATGCTAATATTTTTATATTTTCAAACAGCGATAACTCCAAATATACGCAATATTTCTGAATAAAACTTTTATAAAAAAAACTGCATCCGGACCGATTTTATTGCACCCTACTTGATTTGGCGAAATTATCACGGCTAATTAAAAAATTGGTAAAAAAACAAATTCCCCATTGGAAGTGTGCACAGACTGCTCAATGAGCACGCGCGGATGCTATCTCGTCATCTAGTAAAGTTCAAAGATAAAAAAATTAATTCGAAATTGCATTCAGTGTTCCACCTGATCGGACCGACGTTGTTTACATATGAACTTTAGCCAGCAAAGTGTTGATTAGAAAGCTGCGAGAGGATGAGGAACGGGAGAAGCTGTTGCTGACGGCGTAGGATTAGCTGCTTGCCAAGGCTCTGGCCAAGTGAGAGGGCATACAAAATAATGTCACTGCAGTTGGTTTAGGTAAGCTATCACAGCAATTAATTCAGTGTACTTGGCTGCCTTGGAAAGTTTGATTAGACGATTGTTTACTGCTGTTAGGATTACAGAATTTTATTTATTTCTGCTTTACTTTACAGGGAGAGCTCAGCGGTATGTCATTCAAAATTACAGGTATATCTAATTAACATAATTTGAAAGATCTGAATGCATGATGGTAATTGGTCGCATGTTGCACTACTACTTAAGGTTATTATACTAAATTGATTAATGAAACAAACAAACCGTAAGAAAATAAAAAAATCATTTTTATCTATCAACATTATTATAAATTATAATATTATATTTTTACATAAGTTCGACGTAAATTATAATGCTCATTTTCATTTTAAAATTTTTTGTTTGATAATTACTAATACATTTTTTATGTACTACCAGATCATTCTTTTCTTCCCAGGTACCGTGCATCTTCCGACAATAGGCTATATACGAGGGTGGTTCGATAAGTTCTTAGCCTACAAAAGGAAAACGAAAATGTTGGAAAAGTGGCGTTTTATTTTTCAACATAGTCTCCTTTTAGTTCGGTACACTTGGCCCAACGATGCTCCAACTTCTTTAACCCGTCTGAAAAATACGTTTCCTCGAGGTCTGAAAAGTAGGCTTCCGTGGCAACGAGTACCTCCTCATTCGACTCAAATTTCTGCCCGGCGAGTGACTTTTTCAAGTTTGGAAACAAAAAGAAGTCGCACGGGGCTAAATCTGGAGAATACGGTGGATAGGGTAGCAGTTCGTAGTTCGTAGCCTAATTCGACCAATTTGGCCATGGCGACGGCGGAGGTGTGAGCCGGTGCGTTGTCACGGTGGAAGAGCACTTTTTTCTTCGCCAAATGGGGCCGTTTTTTCTGCAATTCGACGTCGAATCGGCCCAATAATTCGGCATAGTACAGCCCTGTGACCGTTTTGCCCCTCTCCAAGTAGTCGATGTACATCACACCTTGTGAATTCCAGAAAACGGTGGCCATCACCTTTCCGGCCGATGGGGCAGTCTTCGCCTTCTTCGGAGCACCTTCGCCGGGTAAAGTCCACTGTTTCGACTGTTCCTTGGTCTCTGGTGTATACCAGTGGATCTATGTTTCGTCGACTGTCACGAAACGACGCAGAAACTCCTTCGGATTGCGCTTAAACAGCGTCAGACATTGCTCTGAAGTTGTCTCACGGTTGCGCTTGTTGTCCGGAGTGAGCCAACGCGGCACCCATCGCGCTGACAGCTTTCTCATGCCCAAAATTTCATGCAGGACATCACCCACGCGGTCTTTTGAGATGCCTACGATCTTAACTATTTCGCGCAACTTCAACCGTCGATCTGCCAATACAAGATCGTGAATTTTTGTCACGTTATCCTCCGTGGTAGCCGTTTTCGGAGCACCTGGACGTGGCTCTTCAAAAATCGACATGCGACCACGTTGAAACTCGTTAAACCAATTTTTGACGGTCGCTATCGAACGAGAAGAGTCACCGTACACAGCATCCAAGCGCTTTTTGATTTCGCTGCACGATTTCCCTTCCAATAACAAGAATCGAATCACCGACCGATACTGCTCTTTTTCCATTTTTTAAAAATCAACGGACACACTTGCTTTCACACGCTCTCAAAAATAAACTATAACTCCGATCCGGCTGAAATCTTGACGGTAACCATCGAGAAGGTTGTACTACGTGATAGAATATTTCTTTTGCGAGAGTGGCGCAATCGGGCGGTGAGGCTAAGTACTTATCGGACCACCCTCGTAATGTCTTATTCCATTTTCAACAATCGGAGGAACATATCTAGCTATTCCACATAGAGAAAAGGTTTGACTCTGGATAGTTACTTTAATGGGAACTTGATCCAACGAGGAATAATTCTTGGCCTGATTAAATTCTTTCATTTTTGGATTTTGAGATCGTTTGTAGGAATCTTCAGCATCTATGCATAAGTAAGTATCCAATGCACGTGAAAGACGTGCATTAGTACTTTCATTTATTAGTAATTTCTACAAAGTACATTTCTGTCTGCAAAATATTTCTCTACTTTGTGTTGTAAAGTAGTTGTAGTTATGTTTAATGATTATGTTGGTGTTTGGAATTGTTATGTAGGATTTAGTTTGTTCCTCTTTGTGTCCACAGGTTTTGCAAGTCAAAAGTTCTCTAATGAAGGGGTAATTTCTCATCAATTTACAGACTAAATTACCAATATTGTCTTGGCAATCAATTACGAAACTATCAAGACTTCTGTTCAATGAATGAAGTATGTATGCTCTATTGGTATAAAATGTATTACTTAATGATGATGTAGCATAATTTATGACAGTACTTGCATAATATAAGTATTGCAATTTTAGTATTTTATTTATATTATCTTACAAATACTCCTCAAAACATTTTAATTCAAAACAAGAGTGAGCAAATAATTTAGTAATAGTATCAAATGCACAGGTATTTTCCAATCTAAATTTTATTCCACGAATAGTTTTTTCAAGGAGCTTGCCATCATTTTGAATAACTTTTCTGCTCATAATTTTCTTATTTCTTTTTTGTAGAAGAAGATTCAATCCAAGCTCAGCAGACACGTACTTACCATGTTTCTTTAAATTTTGCTTTACGTTTACTGAGCTTCTTATACATAAAGTTTTTTTTTCTTGACTAGAACTATTTTCCAAATCTAAAAATACTTCTTTAGCATATTCATCATCTATCTCACCTTTAGAATATTGAAAATGCGGTTCAAAATCAACTCTGAATAGACGCTGAAAGGAACTCTGAAAATTTTTCAATTTCGAGCCTGCTATTTTGGTTTTTCCACATTTCTGTCACAAGCAAAAATTCATTACTATTTTCAATATATTTTTTCTTTGATACTATTTCACTAGGTTATAGATTGTTCAATGCAACACGTGCTAATATTATATCGCTTTCTATCTGTCGAGAATGGTTAACAAATTGTAACGGAGTTCTTTGAGCCGACTATTCGTTAAAGAATACTTGCTCGCGGCCGTCCGCACAATATTTATCAAAGGAGGGCTCGGGAGGCACGAATGCTCCCACGACTGAATGGCACACCGAGCGTGTGTGCCAATCGCGCACGAATTAAAGGAAAATCGGAAAACGAACGGGTTGACGCAGTAACGTATGACATATATATATATATATATATATATATAACAAACTTTATTAATACGAACACAATAAAAGAAAGACACACAAATTAATAACTAGACGGAGCACGCGCACTCCGTCTCGCAAATCGGCCTA